ACCGTTTCATTTCATCCTCATTCCCCTTTAGTAACAGCCAAATCCTCTTTGCAGGAAGTGGCATCCTCGCCACTGCTGCTGAGTCGGCTGGCCAGGTCACCAGGCTTCCATGGCCCTCCCTGCGTCCCGTGCACTTGCAGGAAGAAGATCACGCACATCACCATAATTGAAGAGGAAATCATTCCAACAGCAGCTAGGTTTGGCGGCGGCGGAAGGCCCAACTGCTGCCCTTGCAATTTCGGCTGATTCGGTAAGTTTCTTTTCTCTTCTGTTTTCTCTCTGTCTCTCACTCTATGTCCCCCTCTCTGTGTATATTCATACATATATGTGTGTTTGTTTCATAGATATACGCATATTTGTTCGTCGTTGTCTCTGCCTCTGTTTCTTTCTTTCTTTCATGCTTCTTCTAAATCCTTCCCACTTGAGCATTAGCGAATACTTCCTCCTTTATTCCATTTACTGCAAGTGTATTCGCTCACAATAAGAAAGGAAAACAAAACCGCGCTTTCAGTCGGACTCGAAACCGCATCAGGCGATCGAATCGGTTTCATCGCCTGATCAGGAGTAAAGTTGGACTCGAAACGTCACGATCTTTTTCAATTTCTGATTGTTTTATTCCAAATTTGTGTATTTGTTTCTTTTCTTTTTGGTCAAATATAATTTCTAAAGCCGTTATCCCTTTTCACAGGATGTTGCTGATGGACCGAGGACGTCAATCTTTTGTTCTAGACGGAAAATACTCAATTCTAAAAAAAAAAATCACTGAACAAATAGACTTTCCTTATCAACTGAAGGTATTCATAAACTGATAATAAAATTGCAGTAACTAAAAAGAGCGACTCTATATTCTCCTTGTGCAACCAGGCAGTGGAAGTGCGACCAGCCTGTATTGCAGTGCAACTCTCCCACAAACTGAATGGGAGAGGAGGCTCAGCCAGCGGTGTTGATCTGTGAAAAGTTGTTCACTTCACGCCTCTGTGGTGTATCTGTCTGCCCATCTACATATTTATCTCTCCATTTATCTCTCCTTCCATATACATATATATGTATGTATGTATATGTATATATATACACAGGTGTGTGTATATGTGTATATATATAGATATATACTTATACATACTCACAGAGAGACACGCAGATACTGCCTGCCACTAAGACAAAACATAAAGCAAAAAAAGCGAATCGAAATAGAGAAAGTGGCAACTGGATCCGCGCGAGGACCGAGCCAAACCCGCCTCTCGAACCCCGGCAGGACGAGAGGGGGAAGGGCGGCCCGAGGACGCTCCCTTCGGGTCCCTCCTGAGGAAGGCGCGTGAGA